AAAATACTTTGAGATGAATGAAAATGAAAACATAACATACCAAAACTTAGGGGATACAACCAAAGCAGGGCTTAGAGAATATTCTAGCTGTAAACACTTATATTGAAAAAAGGAGAAAAACCTCAAATTAGTAACCTAAACTTCCACCTTGGGAACTAGGTGGAAAAGCAAGAGCAAACTAAACCCAGAACAAGCAGGAAGGGAAGGAGGAAACCAATAAGGAATAGAGCAGAAAGAAATACAATGTAAATAGAAAAAGATAGAGAAAATCAAGAAAACCAAAAGTTGATTCTTTGAAAAGATCAACAAAATTAACAGACCCTTACCTTGACTGACAGAGACAGAGAGAGAGAGAGAGATTGAGAGAGAGAGAGACAGACAGAATCAAATTACTAAAATCAAGAATGAAAAAGGGGATGTTGCTACTGACCTTGCAAAAATAAAAAGGAATATAAGGCAATATTATGAACACTTGTGTGTTAATGAGTTAGATAATCTAGATAAAATAAGCTGATTCCTAGAAAGACACAAATTACTGAAATTGACTCAAGAAGAAAAAGAAAATTGGAACAGACCTGTAACAAGTAAAGAGATTGAATTAGTGATTAAAAGTACTTGCCACAAAGAAAAGTAGATGACAAATGGCCTCACTGGTGAATTCTATAATATCTATTATTTAAAGAAGAGTTAAGCCCAATACTTTGCAAATACTTCCAAAAATGGTAAGAGGAGAGAACATTGTCCAAGTCATTCTGTGAGGCACTATTACTTTGATACCAAAGGTAGAACAAAATATCACAAGCAGAAACCAACATTCCTTGTAAATATAGATGCAAAATCCTCATCAAAATACCAGCAAACTGAATTAGCAACATATAAAAAGTATTTTATACCATGACCAAGTAGGACTTATGGCAGGAATGCAAGATTGATTCAACATACAAAAATCAACACATGATTTTGTAATATGCCATATTAATAGTATAAAGGACAAAAACCATGTTACCATCTTAATAGATAAAGAAAAAGCATTTGACAAAAACCAGCACCTTTTCATGGTCAAAACACACAACAAAGTAGGAATTAGAAGGAAACTCGCTCAATCTTCCAAAAAGTATATATGAAAACCCTACAGGTAACATCATACCTAAAGTTGAAAGAATAAAACTTCTCGCCCTAAGATAGGAACAAAACAAAGCTGTCCACTCTTGTTACTTGTATTCGACATTGTACTGGAGGTTCTAGTTAGGGGACTTAATCAATAAAAAAAAATGGCATCCATATATGAAAGGAAGAAGTAGAATGATCTTCACTTTCAGATAACATATTATTGAATGTAGACTATCAAGGGAATCCACAAAAACTCTTAGAGCTAACAATGAGTTCAGCAAGGCTGCAGGATATAAGGTTAATATACAGAAATTGGTTGAGTTTCTATATACTAATAATGAATAATCCAAAAATGAAACTAAAAAATAATTCCATTTACAGTAGCATCAACAAAAATAATATATGTAGAGACAAACAACAAAAGTGCAATATTTGTACACTAAAAAATATGCAATTTGCTCATGCCTGTAATCCCAGCACTTTGAGAGGTCAAGGTGGGCTGACTGCCTGAGCTCAGGAGTTCTCGATCAGCCTGGGCAACATGGTGAATCCCAGTCTCTACTAAATAACACAAAAAATTAGCCAGGCGTGGTGGAGTGTGCCTGTAATCCCAGATACTCAGGAGGCTGAGGCAGGAGAATTGCTTGAACCCGGGAGGTGGAGGTTGCAGAATTGATTGAATCCAGGAGGCGGAGGTTGCAGTGAGCCGAGATCAGACCACTGCACTCCAGCCTGAGAAACAAAGCAAGAGAGACTCTGTCTAAAAAAAAAAAAAAAAAAAAAAGCTGCAACACTGGTAAAGGAAATTGAAGAAGACCTAAATAAATGAAAAGACATCTCATATTCATAAATGTGAAGACTCAATATTGTAAGATGGCAGTACTACCCAAACTGATACATAGTTTTGAAATAATATAAAGTAGGTTCCCTAATCACAATGGAATGAAATTAGAAAATCCAAGCCAGGTTTTTGCAGAAACTGACAAGCTGATAATAAAATTCATGTGGAAATGCAAGGGATGCAGAATAGCCAAAATAATCATGAGAAAGAAGAACAAAGTTGGGGCATTCACACTTTTAGGTGTAAAAACTTACTACAAAGTGTAATAATAAAGATGGTGTGAAACTAGCATAAGGGTAGATATATAAATTAGTCAACACAGAGTCCAGAAATTAGCCCACATATTTATAGTCAATGGATTTTCAACAAAGGTGCCAAGACCATTGAATAGGGAATGAATAGTCTCTTCAACCAATGGAGCTGAGAAAATTGGATATCCATGCAAACGAATGAAGCTGGACTACTACTCATGCAGTACACATAAATTAACTCAAAATTTATCAAAGACCTAAACTTTAGAGCTAATACTATAATACTCTTACAGGAAAACACAGGTATACACGGCCTTGGACTATGCAATGATTTCTTACGTATACCAAAAGCACAAGCAACAAAAGAAAACATATACTTCATCAGAATTAAAGGACACAGTTAAGTGTTTCAAAGAACATTATAGAGAAAGTGAAAAGACAACTCAGTATATGAGAAAATATTTGCAAGTCATGTATATCTGATAAATATCTATTATCCAGAAAATATGAAGAACTATTATAATTCAATAATAAAAAGAAATAACCTAATTTTTAAATGCACAAAGGATTTGATAGACTTTTTTTTCCACATAAGATATACAAATGGCCAAGAAGTACATGAAAAGGTGCTCCAAATCATTAGTCATTAGTGAAATGCAAATTAAACCTACAGTGAGATACCACTTTCTACTCACTAGCATGACTATATTAAATGGAGACAATGATAAGTGCTGGTGAGGATATGGAGAAATTGGAAACCTTATACACTGCTGGTGGGAAGTCACATGGTGTTAATCATTTTGGAAAACAGTTTGAAAGTTCCTCAAAATGTTAAACCCATTAATTCCACTCTTGGTTACCTAAAAGCAATAAAACACACATCCACATAAAAATCTGTATATAAATTTTCCTGGCACAATTATTTATAATAGCTCAAAAGTGGAAACAACCCACATATTCACCCACAGATAAACAAATAAAAAAATGTATCTATACAATGGAATATGATTGATCCATATAAAGAAATCAAGCACTGATTCTCATTACAACATGGTTGAGCCTTGAAAACATTAAGTGAAAGAAATTAGACACAAAAGGCCGTGTATTATGTTATTTTATTTATCTGAGATGTCTAGAATATGCAAATCTGTATCCAAATCTACAGACAGGATAAGTGGTAAATGGAGAGTGACTGTTAACGGTTCCAAGGTTTCTTTTGGGGCTGATGATAATATTCTGAGATTAGATAGTGGTGATGCTTGCACCAGTTTGTGAATATGGTAAATACCACTGAGTTGTACACTTTAAAAACTGAATATCATGGTATGTGAATTATGTCTAAATTTTTAAAACTTAAAAAAAGAATAGAGTTATCTGTTTTGCCAGTATTAACTAAAATAGAGAAAGTCCAGAATATCGAGGCCTGTGGAATTGAAAAAGTTGACTGTTTCTAGTTTCCAAATAGTAAGAGATGGAAGTTTAAAAGGCTTTGCTTAATAAGGCCCAAGAAAATGTCTCAGTTGATTAAAATCCCAGCTCATGCCTATAATCCCAGAACTTTGGGAGGGTGAAGTGGGAGGATTGAGTCCAGGAGTTCAAGACCAGCCTGAGCAATATAGTGAAACCCCATCTCTACAAAAAAAATTAAAAATTAGCTGGGCAAGGTGGTGTGCACCTATAGTCCCAGCTACTTGGGAGGCTTAGGTGGGAGGATTGCTTGAGTCCAGGAAGTTGAGATTGCAGTGAGCCATGATCGTGCCACTGCACTCCACCCTGGGTGACAGAGTGAGATCCTGTCTCCAAAAGGAAAAAAAAGAAAATATCTGATTAAAGGTGCATTCCTTTGTTCTAGCTAGCTTCAAGATAGATACTATCACAGTAAAAGAGAGAGAGAGGGGGACAAGAAGATAAAAGATAAAACAAGTTGGAAAACTGTATCTTACAAAAGGAACCTTGAGTGTGGATATTGGCAAATAGATCAGATGCTTATCAAATTTTTGAGGAAACAGTATTGTCAAAGAAACCACAAGGCTATATAAAAAGCATAAGTCCGTTAGCTAAACCTTAAAGCAACCTCTGGCAGGAAGTTGCACATCCCCTAAAGAGAGTATTCTCTCCAACTCTCTCTTTACATATGGTCAAGCAGAATCAGGGTCCACTAGGAAGCCCCTCAGAATGTGGTGACAAGAATCACAAAGAACAGTAAAGGAGGGAGTTCCTGCTCTAGGCTAGGCAGCCTTTATAACATCTGCCCATTGGGAATTCAGCACTGTCACAGGCAGTGGCTTCTGTGGGTCTCTCAGTCTGCCCCTTTCTGAATGGGAGTTATCCTGTTCCTGTTATTGTAGTTATCCTATTCTTGTTCTATTATTGCATATTTGTATGTTGGCATGGTGTATTAATCTGTTCTTATGCTGCTAATAAAGACATACCCTTGACTGGGTAATTTATAAGGAAAGAGGTCTAATGGACTCACAGTTCCACATGGCTGGGGAAGCCTCACAATCATGGCGGAAGATGGCGGAAAAGCAAAGGGACATCTTATATGGCAGCAGGCCACAGAGCTTGTGCAAGGGAATTTCTCTTTGTAAAACCATCAGATCTCATGAGACTCATACACTGTCATGAGAACAGCATGAGGAAAGCCCCAACCCCATGATTCAATTACCTTCCACAAAGCCCCTCCCATGACATGTGGGAATTATGGGAGCTACAATTCAAGGTGAGATTTGGGTTGGGACATAGCCAAACTATAGCACATGGATATGAGGCAAACATCTTGCCTTTTCTGTTCACAGGTGTAAGAGAAGCCATGTCTTTTCCTGACAGAGAGGACTAAGAAATGCAGTGCTATAATAGATTGGACTTTGGACTGTCTTCTGTGAGGAGTAGTGGAAGATCCTCCACAGGAAGAAGGGAACAAAGGGATATTTAACGGCCAGAAGAGTGAACTGTGGTGGAGACTGTTACTGCTAACCAAGTTGGCTCACCATGCCCTCGTCTAAGATGCTGTCCAGTAATTTTCCTTTCTTGTAATGTCTTTCTGATCTTTAGGTATCAATGTTTTGTGGGCCTTATAAAATGAGTTTGAATGTTTTCTTTCTTCTATTTTCTGGAGGCCAGTAACACTTCTGCAGGCCAGTATTATTTATCCCTTAAATTTTTGTGAAGCCATCTGGGTTTTCTTTGTGGAAAGAGTTTTAAATTCAGATTTGATTTCTTTGGTAGATACAGGGCTATTGGTATTTTAAAATTTCTTCTTCTGGCAATTTTGACAAATTGTATTTTAAGAAACTTATATGTTTCACTTATATTTTCTAATTTATTATCATAAATATTGGCATATAGACTGCTGATTTATTGGCATAAAGTTGTTTCTAACATCCTCTAATTATCTTTTTAATGTCTGTAAGGCCAGTAGTGATATTCTCTTTTTCAAACCTAGTTTTTGTATTTATGTTTTTTTTCTCTTTTGCTCTCCCTTAAATTGTCTTGCCAGGAGTTTATTAAGCATATTAATTTATTCAAAGAATAAGCTTTTGAGTTTGTTGATTTTCTCTATTAAATATTTGTTTTCTATTTCATTGATCCTGCTCTGTATTCCTCTCTTCTATGTTTTGAGGGGGTTAGTATACTTTTAAGAAAAATTTTTCTTACATAGAGACAGGGTCTCACTATGTTTCCCAGGCTTGTCTCAAACTCCTGGGCTTAAGCAATTTTCCAGCTTTGGCCTCCCAAAGTGATGGGATCGCAAGTGTGAGCCACCATGCCTGGCCATTTTTCTAGCTTTTTGAGTTGAGAACTTAGATCATTGGTTGTTTTTGTTTTTGTTTTTTGAGATGGAGTTTTGCTCTGTCACCCAGGCTGGAGTGCAGTGGTGCGATCTTGGCTCACTGCAACCTCCACCTCCCAGGTTCAAACAATTCTCCTACCTCAGCCTCCTGAGTAGCTGAGATTATAGGTGGTTGCTACCACACCTGGCTAATTTTTGTATTTTCAGTAGAGATGGGGTTTCACATGGTGGCCAGGCTGGTCTTGAACTCCCTGCCTCAGATGATCCGCCTGCCTCAGCTTCCCAAAGTGCTGGGATTACAGGCATGAGCCACCATACCCACCCAGATCATTGGTTCTTAAGCTTTCTTATTTTTTAATATATGGACTGAAAAGTATATGTTTCCTTCTAGACACTGCTTTAGTGGTGTTATTGACTACATTGCCTCTCTTCTCCCCACATATCCAATAGTGAAAGACTTCTAATGACAGAAATGCAAATGGATCTGCATGAATCTCTGAGTCAGTGTCTGGAGGAGAGCCATGCAGGAGTGTGCCTCACATGCATTGGCTTGTAATATATGCAAGAAACATGTCTGTGATGTGTTGGACTACTTTCTTTCTTTTTTAAGAGGCTTGCTATGGCCTGTCCTATCCTAGCTGTTACAAGAGGGCTTGTTTTACATCAGCTCTTATATCTGTCCATATTGCAGTTTGCCAAGATTTCTCGTTGATTCCCCCAAACATCAATATTAGGGGATTGTTGTTGTAAGGGTTTTTCATGAAGATGAGGGGTATTATAGCATAGCACACAATACAAAACAACTTCACATTTAATATACATTCCCCTCCTTCCCACAGAGGATTCTTCATTGTCTGTCTTTCAGGTTTGGCCCTCACCTATTGTCAAGTTTTAAGGTCCCCTTCTCTATTTAAACCCTTTCCTCACGTTCCATATTCACGCTTCTTCCCACATGTCCTATTCCAAAGCAACCCAAAGTTCTCCAGCTTTGCTATTGTAGCTTTTCTTTACCTTGGATAAAATCAGATTCTTACTCAAGGTCTCTTTTCTACTGATCAAAGCATACTCAGATGTCTAGGGGGCAGAAATGGAGCAGTGGGAAGCCTGTTGAAGAAACAGGGCAGGCCCTCCTCAGCTGAGAGCTTGCTTCCCCAGAATCTAGAGTGGTATTTGTCTTTACTTTATGGCTACTTACTTACTTCTATGCTCTGGTTTTTATTGTTTTTATTTTATTTGCTTTATTTTTTACATGGTTGAAATCATGTTCTTGTGCTCTGCTTTTCTAACTTAATGTTTTATCACAAGCATTTACCATATTACTGTGTAATATCAGGAAACATCTGTTTTATATTCACATTTTTTTCCTATTTAAAAACGTAATTTTCAATCTTAAAGGATATGAAAAGAACATGCAACTTCTCAAAATTCTACCCCCTGGTCAAAACATTTAACCAATCGAGCTGCATGGTTTCAGCTGCTGACAGCTAGAAAGAAAGAAGAATATTTCTAAATATGTCTGTGGAGAGACTGCTTGGACAGAGCTGTCCCTGGCAAGACTATACTGGAGCAATGCTCTTAGTGGGACAGCCTAGTGTCCTGAGCACCAGGACTGTCAAATTTATGTGCATTTGGATGATCCAGAGCAATTGTGGTGGCAGAAGTCTGTTTGCAGAAGGATCTAGAAACCTCTTGGGAAAGGGTCTAGCCTGTGAATGTGGTCACTCTGGCCCAGCTTCAGAGGGAGGGGCTGTAGTAGAAAGTGAATAAAAACAGGGCAGTTCACTGAAATTGCTGTGAGAGTACAGGGCCACCATGCTTTGCATTCTCAGTAATGGTGACGTATAGGGACATGGAGGGGATGGTGGGAGGGATCTCTCTTCTTCATGGTAAAAAAGCTCTGGGACACAACTGCTGAGCCATAGCTGGATGAAACTACAGTGGTCTAGAGGAGGGTCAGAAAAGCTCCACACTGGGCTGCTGTAAGAACTGGCTATGAATTCAGTGTTCAGCCTGATTGAGTACAAGTCACCAGCTACAGAAAAGGCAAGGGAGGTCAGGGGGCAAAGGTGGTGAACCTTAGCACTGTTTACAGATCCTCACTGAGGAGGAAAGAAAGCTAGAGGGACAGGTGGGCTTGGTCAGGTACTTGTAGCCATCAGGTTCACAGGAGGCCTTGAGGTCAGGTCAAAGGCAGGAAGATCCTGTGCTGAAGAGTAAAGCTTGGAGAGGGGACTTATGAGATCTTGCAAGGGATCTGGAGACATGGGACAGGGCAATGTTTAAAAAGGCCTATCAGGACCACAGGAGTTAGCCAGGGAACATGAGAAAAATAAGTAAGATAACTTGGAATCTGGCTTCATTGGAAGCTTGTTGCATAGTCAGTGTAGCTGCTCTCTCGCCTTGCCCCTTCAGGCCCAGAAAGTAACAGCTCTGATATTATTAGCCCTTGAATCTTGCACAGACCCTCATTGTTTCCCTACATACTTACCACATCTTTGAAAATAGTCCTTTTATTAAATTGCCTATTAAATCAATTAGCCTAATATGAATGTATCATCTGCCTGCTGCTGGGACTCTACTGATGCAGAAGCCATTCTGTTGATGGCTCCAGGGGGACCCTCTGGAACTCTGGCTCTCAGTAACCAGCTCTGGAGATAAAAGATGGGGACTGGGGTTTAAATGGTGGACCCCTTGCATCACATAAAACTAAGGATATAGATTGTGACTTCATTGAGGTACTTCAGAGATCCCTGGTAGAAATTTAATAATACATTCCAGCCTAACTCATCAGGATGAGTAGAGATTAGACAGATCTGATTTGAGGCAGGAATGGGGTGCTGGTAGTAGAGGACAGGAAGGCTACAGTCAGATCTCACTCCAGGGCCATGATTATCACCTAGACTTATTCCTCTTGCTCTGTGGAGAGGAGCTGACCAGAAGGTCAGACCCTGGAAGAGGAAAAGGATTAAAGTTAGAGTCCATTGAAGAAGGAGTCGGGTGGAATGGGCGGTACCTGGCATTAGAGTGCCTACACAGCAAGTGGCATGAGTGGGCACCTCTATAATTTTGATGGAAGAAAGGAAGGTGCTTTCAGAGTAGCTGTGGGGAGGACTTTCTTCCCCACTGACGTTCAGAATATGTTCACATGGAAGGAATGCGTGAGATACACAGCTGGAAATGTTGAGAAAACACAAGAGCCTGGGCCTGAGGAATCTTAAAGCAGGTTTGTTATATATTTCATAAATGCTGGAAAAGTGACAGGATTTGGAAAAGTTAATGTAAAAACAGTACCACCCTGGAGCACTAAATCTGGTTTTACTTACCCAGGCCATCTGGTACTTCCCAGATGGCCAGAATTTATACATATTGAAAACCAAGCTTTAATGTGTAAACTTAACAGAATGGCCAATCACAAGTATGTGATAGAAGTAAAGTAGGGGAAGAAATGACTCAGGTATTATTCCCCTAAATTCTCCCAGGGCCTTTGCACATGCCATTGCCTTCCCAATGTCTTCTCCTTCCTCATATCCTGAAGAAGGTTGAGTTTTCTTGTTATGCTCTGGTATGGTTCTTGTATTTTTTTCTTCACAGCTCTATCATAGTTTGAAGTCATATGATTAGTGTCCTGTGTCATCCACTAGCTAATGACCTCCACGAAGACAAGGCTCTGCTCACCATTGTTGCTCTAGGACCCGGTGGCTGACCCCTGCTAGATGCTCAATAGATATTTCATGGATGACTGCATGAAGAACTTTTAAACCATGTCAAGTTGAGACTAGCTTCCCAAATTAGACAAGGTGACACATAATATATTAATATGATCTTGGTAACCTCAGGCCTGTGTTGTCTCCATTTCTCTGGGTAAAGACCTTTATCTGACACAACATTATCAGGAGGGGATCCTGCTGATGTCAAGACTTTATGAGGAAGGGTGGTGAAAACTTTGATCAGATCAAATCTTACCTTTAAAGCAGGAAAGACATACTTCTCTTTGCTCTCCCTGAAACTGCCAAAAGGTTTTTGCCTAACTCATAGGTCTTTGGACCTTGCAGCTGCTACAACTCTGCAAATATCATGGTGCATGGAGACCAACTTGGAGAAATTCTGGGGTTGTGAGGAAACCTAACTGTGCTGTGTTGATATCTTTATCTGCTTTATTTGATGCAAGCTTCTAGGTCTGGTATACTCAAGTTAACCATGAAAATCAATGGCAGTTATATTTGGAAAGGAAGACTATGCCTTGGTAAAGTTATAGGTGAGACACAAAAAATACTGATGTCACTGGTCAGTGATGTTAGAGTAACAATCTCAAGATTTCTGAGGATCTTGGCTCAGTAAGGCCAATGGGAGGTGTGATATGGTGGCTTCATTAAAAGGCCTTTGGCATGTGCCCTCTGCCTTTTATTCTTCATCACTTCCTCCTTTCTGCTCCGTGAAACATAGGTGTAATGACTGAAGCTCTAGCCACCGCCTCTTCCTTAACAAAGGAAGAGCTAATTCCTATCCCCACCCCCCCGCCACCTCCTGCCCCACCAAGGATGAGGGCCACACTTGAGGGATGGTAGAGTGGTGGCTGGAAGAAGTGTGTGGATTTTGTGGAAGAGCCTGTAATGTTCCCTATTTAGGTATAGGAAGTGGGAAAGAAACTTTTCTCTTGTTTAGGCCAGTATTACTGTGGGTCTCTGTTACCATC